TTTTTTTCTTCAAGTTTATAATAATTTGTATTTATTTTGCAAATCAATACATATTATTTGATTTTGCAGATTTTGTGACTACACATCTTTGGCGACTCCACTGGGGAAATCTCTGCCTCTCATCTTTCAGTTGAAGAAAAAATTCCACCATATCTTTCTAGGCATGGTGGACTCAAAGCAAGTTGTAACTCCTCTTGTGACTCGAAAAGTTCAAATCTTTTCCAATCAATCTTCCTTGCTGACTCGTGCCAAAGCGCGCATGACGAGATCCAAGTTGGTCTCCCCCTTGAGGCAATTCACTAGAAGATGTCGTAAGGAGTCTGCAATGAAAAAATGATCATTAGCCATCCAATCGCCTTTCCAGCCCGTGAAGGATGTTGAGTACTTCTCTTCAGAATCTAGTGAAGGTGAAGAACTTAGTCTCAAGCCCAGTCATGTGTCTGCTTCGAAGTTAAGGTGGGCTGACTATCCTTCATCATCGTCTGAGTCCCTCTTACCTGCCTTGGTTACTGAAGCGACATCTGGTGACCCGGATGCTCTCCTTAAGGCTGTGGAAGGCTTAAGGAAAGCTGTGGTTGAAAAAGATGCCCAAATCAAGGAACTCTAAGAACTCTTAGCGGCTCAACACTTATCAAAACAGAGTAACCAAGTAGCATCAAGCTCAGTCGCTGAAAAAGCTCTCGAAAACAAGGAAGACTCATTAAGGACTTCAGATCGGGGTAAGCAAGTCACTATGGAGGAAAGCTTGGAGCAACAAAAGCAAGAGCAACTAAATCGAACAATTCTCCAAGGTGCTTTCTGTGACACTACTCATGCTACTGTGGCATCTCTCACATTTCCACAACTTAAACTTTTAGTTGATGATGTGATTTGAGCTCGGCAAGGAGGGACCTCACAATCCTCACTTGTGTATGCCAAGCCCTATACTCGTAGGATTGATAATCTAAGCCTACCAGACGGTTACCAGCCACCAAAATTCCAAATGTTCAGTGGGAAGGGCAACCCAAGGCAACACGTCGCCCATTTTGTCGAAACATGCAACAATGCTGGCACCTATAGGGACCTCATGGTGAAACAGTTTGTCCGGTCCTTGGAGGACGCAGCTTTTGAATGGTACACTGACCTTCCTGCTGGGTCAGTGGATAGTTGGGACCAGTTAGAGTGAGAATTCTTGACACGTTTTTACAGTACCAAGCGTACTGTTAGCCTCCTTGAGCTTGCTAACACCAAGCAAAAGAAAGATGAGTCTGTGACAGACTTCATTGAAAGATGGAGGAATCTCGTCCTAAATTGTCGAGAAAAGATTAGTGAGATCTTTTCTATTGATACGTGTGTGCAAGGTATGCATTGGGGACTGCTGTATAACCTTCAAGCTAACATGCCACATACCTTTGAAGAATTGGCCACTCGTGCCCATGACCTGGAAATTCAAATTGCTAGTCATGGTAACTTTCTTCCAACAGACGCTCGTGATAAAAAAGAGTCTCGAAAAGATGTGAAGAAGGAAGTGAAACCTTCAAAAGTAAAAGAAACTATGGCAGTCATAACAGCGCTTGTGAAGATCTCACAACAAAAGCCAAAGCCAAATCCTAAACAAGGTGTCAAGATTGTTGAGGATTAGGGTCAAAAGAAGAAGTCTACCTTGAAAGAGTTGCAACAAAAGGAGTATCCATTTGTAGACTCTTAAGTGCCAGCTATCTTTGAGCAATTGTTGGCACTAAACTTAATTGAACTTCCAGCTCCTAAGCGCCTAGAGGAAGTTGGGAGAGTAAATGATCCAAAATACTGTAAGTATCACCGAATTGTGAGTCATCCAATCGGTAAGTGTTTTGTGTTGAAAGATCTGATAGTTCGTCTTGAGAAAGAAGGCAAAATACAACTAGAAAGTGAAGAAGGTTCCGCTACCACCAATGTTGCCATGGTTTCCTTTGGATCCTTCAGTCTAGTTCCACTCCTGCCTGTGCAATGAACCCCACTAATGGTTCAACCTAAGGAGTTTGGTCCCCACCTGCCCAAGGGGGCAATTCAAGTTAAATTTCAAATAGATGATGAAGAAAAGATAGCCTATGCTTATCTTGACATGCCTACTTCTGGAGGTCCAGGCTCTCTTTCTTTATATGACCTTATGACGGTGAATCTTGAAGATTGGGAATCATCATCTGAGTCTGAAGATGAGGTTGGCGATGGTTGGTCAACCTTCATTAGTAAGAGCAAAAAACACCGTAATCCAGTATCTAGTGGAATGCCACTCTCAGATCCTCATAAAATCATGTATGGTATTTATCCAGAGATAAAGCCGACTGGATGGTGTTCAAACTCTGAGTTTCCTGCCTTTTACAATGATGTTGATGGGTGGATTCTAGTTCAATCATGAAGGAGGAGGCGTCATTCAAGACCCACACTACCATCCATCCAACAAAATCATTCATATCTTTCAGCTTTGCCAGCAACACCAAAAAATCAAGAACAATGCCAGGTAGTGAAAATGAGGTCTGATTTACAAACAAGACTTCGACAAGTTCCTAAGAAGAGAAAGTCACTATCTGAGAAAGATATGAACTCAAAAGAAAGAGTTGTAGTTACTCTTTATGAATACTTTCTAGAGGGATATTTTTCTTATGAGGAAGTATCTGTTAATGTCACAAGTTTCAAGACAGAAAACAAACCATCATCTAAAGAAGAAGCTGAGGGTTCCAATAGCCAATCAAATGATCCCGAAGCTGATGGAAGTATAGAGAAATTGAAGCAACTTCCATCTTATTTACAGTTATCCAAAGCCTTGCAGCTTTCATGGGATACACGCCTTGCTCTTGTACAAGCTTTGTTAGACCCAAAAAAGTTCCAAGGTGAGCTTGCCAAGCTAGAAATTAAGGCTGAGTGTTTAGGAACAATAACCTTCACAGATGAAGACCTGCAGCTTGGAATCTAAAAACATAACAGGCCTCTTTATGTGAGTGGTATTGTTCGAGATCACAAAGTGAATCAAATTTTGATTGATGATGGATCTGCTGTCAACATAATGCCAATTTACATCATGAAGAGGATTGGGATAACTGTCGATGAATTGCTTAACAGTAAACTCCTAATCCAAGGCTTTAACCAAAAGGGTTAACGTGCAATTGGCAAGATTCGCATCAATTTCCAAATCGCAGACATGGCAACCTCAGCTTTGTTCCATGTCATAGAGGCTAAAACATCATATGAGCTTCTTTTAAGACGAACATGGATTCATGAAAATGGGGTGGTTCCGTCAACTTGGCATCAATGTTTTAAATATCATTCTGATGGCAAAACAAAATGTGTTATGGCTGAGAAAGAGCCTTTCACGAAAGA